CCGCCGCTACCGCCGGTTCTATCGATCTGTCCTTTCTCTCTTGTTGTTTTCCCCGTTTCACGGTGGCAAAACGCGTGTCAAACAGAAGGAGAACCGAGAAATTGTCCCTGGTCCTGACGGTTGGACCCGAGGAGGACCCGTAACGGTGGCACTCACCACCCAGCGTCCTCGTCGACTATCACCACGGTCCGTTCCCTCCCTCGAACGTACATCGTCTCGTTTTGCCGACCTACCCCGGCCTCCTTGCCCGACGCTAGCGCCAACATGGTACGTTCACGAAACTAGGCTAGATTCTCCGTCGACGAGAGAGGTCTCACCGCGAGCGGTGGCGAGTTCGGGGGCGGGCTGTAACGTCGGCCGGAGACAATTTCATTCCCTCGTTTAATGAATGATGTGTGAATGTTATCAATAATTCCGTTGTGTGACGAAAGATGGCCATCCCCGTGTAGACGTGTCTAATCTTTTGTTTACGCTTTTACACCGCTTGTTTCGGCTTGCTGAATATCGCGAAGATTTAACTACTTTAGAGGCAGAATCTTTTAATCTCTGTACGTAAACGTTTGTAATTTTTACGGCCCGACACGAAGCTTTCTTCTCTGTTGCAGATGGACTTCTTGAACTTCTTCTTTCCTAACTTCTTCCGTTCCAACTTACGTTAACTGGAAGGTGAAGTTCTCAAGCCTGCCGCAGCTCCTATATCTTTAAATTTCTTAAGTTTAAGAAACATACGAAAGAATCGCAACTAGCTGTCGTTCGTTTTCCTTATTGGCTTCTTCGTAGAATGTACTTTTGCACTGCTCATTTTTGCAATTTGTGGAGATGAAGAGAGCGTAGGAGTTTGCTGGTTAAACGGATGTCAGAATTTATAGGTTTTCGAATATGGGTGCGAAGAATTGATTGAGAAGGAAATTGTACAATTACACGTGACGGCATGTGCGGAGTTACGCGAGACTCACGATCAGTTTGGAAATTGTTTCCCTTGCTTAAAATTTTATCCACCTTCACATCCAGTTTCAACTAAATTATTATTACTTTATCGGAATTATAGTATAGATATCGAAAAAGTCGATAAAAACGTGCTGAAAAATAGAACAAAAATATACAAAGCGTTGAAGTACGTATAAGAAAGAATTGATCAAGTACATATTTACCTTTGCTCCAAACAAATGAATAAAACATTAACCTATGAAGTTGCTATATTTTTATTCATCATTCACTATCGCCCCCTTGCTATTGCCACTTTTTTTCAATATTACTTGCTTTTATACGCGTTCTTTTATATAATATACATATTAGGTTTTCAGATATTTCCTTATCCAACTTCCGCGTATCCCTTCACCTGTATCAATTTTTCCTAATCAAAATATTTTCAGAAGATGGGAAATTTAATACGCTCGAACGTTAAACCGCGTAAATGTTAAAACGGACGAGATTGCTTCGTTTTATCTCTCTTCCATTGTTTTACAACGTCTATCTACCGAAATATTTCCAACAACAAATATGTGAAGTATAACAAACGCGAAGGAAATATCTAAAAATTCATTTCTAAACGACGTCACGCGGAGATATTTCCCAAAAGTATGATTGATAATCATTGTGAGATCACTATCGCGGATGCGCTAGAACTTTTGCATAACTATATGTACGGACAGGTCGATTCTCTCAAATATTCCACTGTATAACGATGAATTTTACCCCGTGAGACTCGCTGCTTCTTCCTTCTCGACGAAGGTCGTGGAATGAAAAGGAAACGAAAAAGACCGAGAGAGAGAGAGAGAGAGAGAAAGAGAGAGATAAAAGCTTGAAGACTGATCGTCGCGGCGAGGGTGAACGCCACGTTCGTCCAGGGGAGAGTATCAGAATTAGGGAAGGGATGAATGGATGACGGAGATGGCAGTGGTTGCATGGAAGAAATTGAGACAGGGTATCGCGATGGCCGTTATCCGCCGACGGATTCACAGGGGTGGAAGTCGAGCACGGGCTTCTCCGATTGCCTGTTTGCCTTTCTTTCGCGCTCACACACCCCGAATCGTTTACGCTGCTAACATTTTCGTAGTCTTCAGTTAGTGATAGAAGCTCGGGGAAAAGTCTAAGGTTCGCAAGTTCCGAGCGTATTTAAGCCTCATCTAGCATCTTGATCTAACAGAGGGTGCAAATGGAGCGCGAGTCGATATCATGCTTCGAGTACACGCTGCAATTATCGTGAACGCGAACTTTCTCGGAATAAGCATTCGCGAGATCAACTATACTGTGCATAGATTTCAACCCGATTGAAAAGTTTTAAACGCATCGCGAGCAAAGAGGATAAGGTAGAAACAATATTTTTAAATAATTTCGGAGTTAGACGAGATAGGTTCGAACGCTTTCTAGATATTCTGAAACATGGGACAACTACAACCAAAGTGACCAGGATGCAAGTGACATTTTTCTGATATCAAGGAAATCGAGTATTAAATTTCAACGTGTTTTAAACATTTCAGGTAATATTTTCATAAAAATTGAGCTACATTCTATAGAGAATAGATATAAAGAATACAGAAAATAGAACGAAGAATTGTGATACGAAGTAATGAAGCGAAACTTCTATATCTGAATTGATTTCGATTCCAGAGTACAAATATTACAATTAATTCCATCCTTATTTCCTAGTTGACTGTTTCCAATGTGTAATAGGGTAATTAGGGAATATTGGAACGGGTACTTTCTTGGAGAATGTGAAATTAACGGGAATCCGATTGATGAAGGAATTATACGAGATATTGATTGCCCCAACAAGCATAGTATGCTTCTTAACACGTTCGCGCTGTTTTGCATTCAAGATAACACATACACTTTCATGGTATGCATATTATATAGACTCAAATATGCGGGACAAATTAACAATCTCAAAATTTTGAAGGCGGAACAGAAGATCCATAATATCATGATTTAATTGGATACAGTATTATTATAGATAACATTCACAGTGATAATAAATGAAATCTATGGAATAAAAATTGTCTGGAAGAAAATGATAAATCTTTCGATTCATCTAATGTCTATATTGACAAATTGCGTATATCAAAGTAGAGAAAAAGTAGAGAAAAGATGCGCTATCGTGGACTATACGCGACAATAATATCTGATAGACCCGACAAACACGAGCCAGAAGTGCAAAAACCATTTGACTAGCGAACATCCGCCGTCCCATAAAAATCTATACAATAATTCTCTTCTACTACTATTCTCCAAACGAAACCTTTCCAAATATCCGACGAACGACAAAGAAAGAGTAAAGGCAACTTGTGTCAAAACCTACATATACCTACACAACGATCGTTCGTCGCGATTGATTCGGCTTGCATCAAAGAAAGGAAAGTTTCTCGCTAACGACAACGTATCAACGTCATCGTTTCCCCACAAAAAGTACAGTAGGTACATATCACGGGCCGCCTACGAGCTGACGGATTGCCAATCTGGAAAAAAAACCGTATCAGTCGAAAGATATTACGAGGGAAGGGGGAGGAAAAAAGAGAAAAGAGGAAAAAACGAAGAAGAAGAAAGGATCGCGTTTTACGTCATCCAGCATCCGGAGGCAACGACGCCCACGCGAAAAACGACTGCGTACTAAGCCTATCAAAAAAAAGAAACTATTTTACTATTTTTACAAAATAACTATAATCAAAATCCTGATAAATTAAATTCAATACGAAGCGTTAGATTAGACGCACCTAAAATTTGGCACCTAAATGCTCTTGATAGCTCTTCGATGCTCTTCGATGCTCTTTACTGACAGTAAAAACTCATCGCGTGTGCCCGATTCTAATTATCAAGCCTTCGTGAATTTATTAATCAAACGAAGATTTACAAACTTACCAAAAAGATCGTGGAGCAACGAGTTAGTCATTGATATTGACATCGTCGCAAAGACCATAACTTTTAATCGTGTAATGGCTGTATTTCTCTCAACAATCCGTTTTTCCGAATCGCGCTTTCGCTTGCGTGATACATAGCGTTCAACGAACCGACAGGCCATATTCTATCCTAGTTTTTGTGCGCCTGCGAGTAAACAACCCGGTCGCGTGTGTTCACAATTGTTCTTGACATCGGAAGATGCATCGTCTCGTTTCGTTGTTTTGGTCCAGTTGTTAGTAGCGGTCTCACGATCTCCGATAATCTTTTTGTAGTGCAGGGTCTTCTGCATAGAGGTCAGACGTTTCGTGATTTAAAACTACGGTTGATAACAGATGTCGCTCAACGTATGTATCTCCTAATGTTAACGACAGAATAGACGTGACACGTCAGTGGTGACATTAAATAACGCTTTGTGTGTCACGTTCTGAAATACCGACTTGGAAAAAATTCGACGTGCTTCTTACGCCCTCTGCGATTTGCTATGGACAACATAGGAATCATATTCAACCGCAGAGGGAGTGTAGTGATTTGAATTACAGACGAGTTTGAATTAAAACCATTGCAATAAAGCATTGTTATAATACAGCATTAGTAGTAGTTAAAACTAAAACTAAATTTTCCTTTAAAATATGAATAAGTTACAAAAAAAAAAGATACTTCGATATTACAAGCAAAAATTTAAGAATCTATTAAGAATCTGCTTCGCTGAACTACTCGATCTGTATGTCAAATCAATTATTTAATACGAATTACTTATCTCCGTGACATATAACAATTGTACATCAAATGCTTATTACGCATGGTTCAACAAAGAAACAATATAAACGTATACATACTTCATCTGCATTTACTACAGCGAATCGAACACCAAATCCGCTTGACAGCCATCGAATTATCCATTAATTATCATGGCGTCCATAAATTTCTGTTCTTTCGAATTCGTTTTAGTGATCAACCAGCTATCTGTGCAAGAGAGAACCAAATATTTGACATAAATGTGTAAAATTAAAACCGGTTACATTAAAATGAGACAATAAGCGAATCGAACGGTCGATCGACAAAAAGTGAACCGACAAAAGTTCGAAAAACTAATGAGTTTCGGTACAATAATGTCGAATAAATCGTTAAACAAATGAGTATTAATTAAACTAACCTAATAGTAGCGTAAAATAGGAACAGGATAGCGGTGGAAATACGACGTAGTTAAGGTGACGCGGTTGAAACGGAGAGGTACATATCGACGCCACAATTTTCGACTGTAGAATGAAGTCCCGCGACGTAGCGTCGCTTAGTTGATTCCTGATTGGTCGGCGCGCAACAGCGCCGCTTCCAATCAAATTCTCGCGCGAAATTCGAAATACTTATGCAGTGGTATATGGTAAAAATTGTAAAACCAGTGATAACTGGAAGATAAAATCTAGAGTATATATTTACTATTATTAAAACTACTAATAAATTACTAAAATTAGTTATATAATAATATAATAATACTTATATATATATTATATATTATATATATATATAAGTATATATATATATATAATACTTATATATATATACTACTTATATATATTATATATAATACTTATATATATATATATATATTTATGTGTGTGTGTGATATGATATTTATACAATATATATGTTATATTAGAGTTTCGTAAATCCTTAAATTCAGTTACATAAGATGTGTCTCACGAAAAATAAATTACGGAGACAGCACTGAAATACTAGTAGACTACTGTATACCACAGAACACTTTGATCTTTCATTAGTTTATATTACACCTTTCATGGTTTCTATCTTGCTCTTTCATCTCCTTCTTGTAAAACTCTGCTTATCGTCACTCCATAAAAGCGTACACCCTTATGAATACAATTTACACATTAATCGTATAATATATCGAACTAGATCGAATACGTTTACATTCGACATACCGAAGAATTTAATGGTCATCACTTAGTTGATTTTCACACGAATGAACGACATTTTGAAAACAAATATTTTTCAGTTCGTTTCTAAAATGGAACAGTCTCGTCGGTTCACGTGTCGATGGAACTTGAAGGTTCGCGACTGGCCACGCAAATAAACAGTGTCGAATTTATAGAACGAGAAATCGCGTTTGCTTCGTGGGTTATTCTTCTGCGTGAAACTCGAGTTCTTCGATCGACTGTGGTGAAACGATCGACGTTTTCTCCGCCAGTGGATCGTTCTGATCCTATGTGACTTTCAGTTGTAAAAAAACTTCAAGTGTGAATAATTTTTTGATCTCTCTTATAGACTGTAGATTGATATAGGATATAAGATTGTTCTTATTATTTAAATCGTTATAAAAATATGATTAACGGATGCGTAGTATATAATTGGTGAGGATTATTATTTTATCTTTTATTAAAATAAATTCAGTGGGAGCATTGTATATTTGCCATGATGCTTGTGTGTTTGTGCTTAATGCGTGGAAACGATAATTTTACTAGATACCTATTATCGAAAGATCTGATCGAGTATAAAGTGTGGTGATCGTGTGTGTTTAAGTCCCGATATATTTTTGACATCGCATGGAAAGCGCATCGAATTTCCTAAAAGCTAACTAACGCTATACTGTAACACAGCATACTATAAACTCGCATCATTAACATACAATTACAAAATTCAGTGACAAAATACTGAAAGGAAAAGTCAAAATTAAAATTCCTTCGAGTCTACAGAAAAACCATTAAGAAGATGTACGGATTTTACGTTTGACTGAACGTGGCTTCGTTCAAATTGCACAGTTGACGGGCGGCTCGTATTTCCCCTTGGAATGGTTCTTATTTCCAACCTATTTTCCAATCAGTTTTTCCCGACGGCCAATCCTTCCCAAGGGTGTTGTAATACTCACTTCGGTCTTCTTTCGCGTAGATTATATATAATAGAAAACTAGATGTCGAGTAATCAGTGGTCACGGCGAGCGTAATTGCCCGACGCTGCATTTGAAAACCTACCCCTTCTCGTTGTCGTAAATTTAATAACGCAAAGTACATATTGATTGCCTTGCCAACATCCTCGACTTCTATAGGAATATGAAAATATTGATCCTACGTCTGCTAACAAGCAATAAAATACGAAAATATGCATACGTCTATGCCATCTTCTTCGATGTACAGGTAGATGCGTACATTGCGTTTTGTATATGTGTCCGGTGTGTGTTTGCACAGTGTGCAAAGCAAAGAATGAAGTATTTGCAAAATTTATCGATTGTTTGCAAAGTATCAGCTTCATATGGTTAATAGTATTGATAGACGAAATAACCACGTTTCTTACGTCGTAATATTACCATAAACTGAGGGAATATCGGCAAATTTTGTTAACATTTTAGCGAGACTTTGTAAGAGAAAGCATCTTTGAAATTTATTACGTACACTTGCGTCAAATTGAATTTTACGTTGGATCATTTTTACGGACGAACCTATTTGTGCCGATATCCCAAAAGTCATACCTTAAAAAATTGCATTGGAAGTCTATTCCATCGCTATTTCTTATCCTATATCAGCTACCTTAATTTAATTTTTCCGTAAACAAGCTTCTTTCACAATTTCCTTGACAAAAGAACCACTACGTAACAGTAGTGAAACAGTATTACATTACATCACATCGAAAAAGAAAGATAAAACCTCATCTTGTATCTCAGACAAAATATACATTATCAAGATTATGTAAAATTCACTTCCTTTTAGGAAAGTATCTTATTACGTAAAATTCGTTTCTATTCAATTTGTATTACATAACGTCTCTTTGCGTCCACAAATTCCACCGCACCTGTATACATAGCAGTGAGAAAATAAAGACAAAAAGAAAGAACAAAAAGATAGAAAAGAGGAAAGAAAAACGAAAATTGTCCAGCCATTTCCTTTACCAATACGATAAATTTTTATTTGATAGCTCTTACCATTTCGGCGTCTGATATCAATGCCGTCCGGAAGCCTGAGTTATCATTCGAGCTTTTCCTTCTACCATGCGAACCGTGGAAATCCAGAAGGATGAGAAAGCTAGATGACGGCAGATGGAACGACCGGGTGATCCTGAACGTCGGCGGTGTACGACACGAAACCTACAAGTCTACTCTGAAGAAAATACCAGCTACTAGGTTGTCACGTTTAACGGAAGCCCTGGTCAATTACGATCCTATTTTGAACGAATACTTTTACGATCGCCATCCGGGCGTTTTTGCCCAGGTGTTGAATTACTATCGTACCGGAAAGCTTCATTACCCGACAGACGTTTGTGGTCCGCTTTTCGAGGAGGAACTCGACTTCTGGGGACTGGACTCTAATCAGGTTTGCAATTACCTTTTATTTCAACCGCGAAACGACTTCGTTTTATGTAAAATCCTACGTGATTACTCTGGTTACGCTGAATCAGGAAAAAGAAGTCAGCAGATAACAGAAACAAGAATGGGTGACTCGCTATATTTGTTTGAACATTTAAAACATCTAAAACTAAAATTCTAACTTTACTCGATCGTTTATTCCGACCGTTTATTCGATTCGAAACGCAACTGCATTATTTCATAACGTTTAACGATTCTGCATAATTAACATTGGTTGCCTGTCCATTTTCCAGACTAGCAGCGCGGACACAAATATGCTTTGATATCGCAGGAAATGTCTCTTTCAAAACGGAGAAATCACGGGCCTGCTATCGAGTCACCGGGTTAGAAACGTTTGTCCGATGACAGTTTCTATTGCACAAACATCCAGCGTTTGATTTTAGGTTCTGATCCATTATACGCTTAAGTTGCGGTCAATTGCCAGACACACGACAAATTTGTTTCCAAATTATCGATTATTTGTCTAACGTGCTCTAGCGAGTATTTTTATTTCTTGAAAAACGAAATACACAGTTCTTCTACGCTGTTTGTATCGTCTAATTTACCATTCGTAAAATATAATGGTGTAGCAAACGTGAAACACAGATAACGGTAGAAACTGGGTCTTCTATTCGTTCGTTGCGCTTTCTTGGTTAATTAATGACGTAATCAATATCAATTAACCTTTTCGTCTTCGTCTGATCCTTTTTTTCTCCTGGAGGATCTCACGAAAATCCGCTCACGCTAATTAAGGCAGCGTTATATTATAATTGATAATCTCTCGGCGATAACACAAAAATTTATCACGACCAAGAAATTATTTGATATGTAGCTGGAATACGATCTCTATCTATTATAGTTACGTGATCTGCAATTAGCCAAGTTCTAATCATCGCCGACGCGTATAATTTCCAATTACGTATACATTTCAGGTGGAACCGTGTTGTTGGAGCACCTACAGCGTGCACAGGGACACCCAAGCAACGCTGGCAATTCTCGACAAGCTGGACATAGAGGGTGAGAAATTAAGCGACGAGGAGATCGCGCGACTTTTCGGTTACGAGGAGGAATACAACAGAGGGACCTTGACAAAATGGCAAAAACTACGGCCAAGGATCTGGGCTCTGTTCGACGAGCCGTACTCCTCTACCGCGGCCAAGTGCATAGCCTGTATGTCGATACTTTTCATCTGCCTCTCGGTTCTCTGCTTCTGCCTCAAGAGTCACACGATGACGAAACAATCGAGAAACAATCAACGGAACGGTGAATCGCTGCATTTCGAATCCAGCGGATACGTGGATCACGTCGATTCTTATCCGGTGCTCTTTTACCTTGAACATACGTGCAACGCTTGGTTTACTTTGGAGATTACTCTTCGCTGCTTGGTACGTAGAAAATTGTCCTATCGTTGTTACGATAGCTGGGTAATTATGATATTCGACAGCTCGAAGCTACACCTCTTTCCTCGAGTTAAACCCTTGGAATTTCATTTCATCGACAATCAATAGATAACGTTTTCTCTCTTATTTTATGCAGTTTTTTTAAATAAATATTTATCGAATGATTAAATGTGCCGCAGGAGGCGAAAAGGTAAAGATTTAGCAATCAATCATTCTATACACGATCATACACACGTATGTGTATAACGTATAACGTAGAGGATTATTTCCAACTAAACTGCAACGTAATCTACAAGTGAAAAGCGAGAAAAAATGTTGTAATTATAAAGGTGTGCTGTGGGCATTTTATTACATTTATCAGCAAATATCGAACGCTTTACAGAGAACCATTTGGTTAATTATATTACATATCTTGCTACGACACCATATACATTAAATGACATAAAATTATCATTAATGCAGTATTTTGCACGTGAAGCTCTACGCCTCGTTAAAATCAATTAATTGCCCTAGTTTCATGCATGTTTATATCATAT